TGAATATCACCAGCTGACTTCTGCACTGTCAGTTATTTTGTTAATGTACGGTTGACAGGCGACAACAATCTGCTGTCTTGGATCATTTATATACATCAAGCTACAATTGGACAAATATCTTTATGCTTTTCTTTAAAAAATAATATAAACATTTTAGCTGAATCACAGATGGTCAAGAAGTCACAGACACAAGAAATATTTATAAAATTGAACTAGTGATTATTTTTTTCTGCATCATATGTAGTGCCTGTTCAACGTACACATGTGGACAAAATAGTTTGTACCCCTCAGTTAATGAAAGAAAAACCCACAATGGTCACAGAAATAACTTGAATCTGACAAAAGTAAGAAGAAATAAAAAATCAATGAAAATATTCAATGAAAATCAGACGTTGCTTTTGAACTGTGGTTCAACAGAATTATTTTAAAAAATAAACTCATGAAACAGGCCTGGACAAAAATGATGGTAGAATCGATTCCACCAGATCGCATTCTCTACCATGACACATATTTTACATTAATTTATCATATAAGCATTTCTATTATGATCTTACAACCATATCATTTTTTAAAATCTCCTCTCCATAGACTGGAACAAGCATCCAAGAGCATCTTCATGCCATTACTACCAGCACTCAACCCTATCTCCTGGCTGTTGGGGTGAGGAAGTCCTCGTGTTGCTGAAGTTAGGGCGAGGTTGCTTCAGTAGTGTTTGACATTTGTCTTCCATCATGAAGTGTTTTGTTTGTCAGGCTGAGCTAACTAGTTCAAACATGCTTGTTAGACATTTAAGATTAGTTCATGGTTACCTGCCTGGAAAAAAATCTAAGCCTTAAATGTGTTCACACTGGATATGGCCATGTGTTTGGTACTTTTTCTGGTTTTAGGAAGCATTTGAACATCAAACACACTGAGTGTACTGAACAACAGATTGGCACTGATGTTCACGTAAACAGGGCAGCAGAGGCAGTGACATTTGATGTAGATGAGACAGCCACAACATCTGAACAGTCAAGAAAGTCTAATAGGACTGATCTGGATATGTGTGCTACTGGTGTCGCACAATTTAAGGCAGCTGGATTAAATCAGTCTACTGTAAATAGTTTTGTCTCATCTATGGAGGAAGTGTTTTTGGCGATTCATAGTCAGGCAAAAGATGCAGCTATGTAGTGTTTATCTCCACAGGACACAGACAGTAAGGACAAATTAGAACAATCCTTCCAAAAGTTTGAAAACCCATTCACACCGTTACATTCAAAAACTAAACAAAAACAAAAAAAATTTTGCAGAGAAATGGGGAATGTTCAATTCAATTCAATTCAATTTTATTTGTATAGCGCAGTGTACAACACGCTATCACACAGCGCTTAACATGGTAAGGTATAGACTTTACAAATTTAAACAGAGAATCCAACAATCCAAAGTAGCCTTTGGACTTCCTCTGAGCAAGCACTTGGCAACGGTGGGAAGGAACCAAACCCCCTAAAGGAGGGGAAAAAACCTCCGGCAGAACCAGGCTCAGGGAAGACGGCCATCTGCCTCGACTGGTTGGGTGAGAGTGGGGATGGGGGTGGGGAAAACAGGATAGCAGATGGAGAGCAAGCAATACAACAGAACAATACATATGAATATAAATATTTTGGGGGTCGGTGAGGCCAGCGGCTGGAGGTCAGGAACGTGAAGCTCCAGATCCACAGATGTCCGCAGGGAGAACAAGCACAGGACCTCAGGGGAAACACAGAGTTAGTGATATGTAATGGTGGTTATAACTGTATGGAAAGAAGAGAGAAGAGGAGCTCAGTACATCATTAGAATCCCCGGCAGTCTTAAGCTATAGCAGCATAACTAAGGGACAGTTCAGGTGATCCTGAGCAGCTCTAACTATAAGCTTTATCAAAGAGGAACATTTTAAGCATAACCTTAGAAGTAGAGAGGGTGTCTGCCTCCCGAACCCAAACTGGGAGCTGATTCCATAAGACAGGAGCTGATAACTGAAGACTATGCCTCCCATTCTACTTCTGGAAACTCTAGGAACCACAAGAGTTACACAGAGTTATTGGGACATCCTGATAACAAGGAATTACAAGAGTCCAGTCTAGAAGTTATAAATGCATGGACTAGTTTCTCAGCATCACTCTGAGACAGGATGTTCCTGATTTTTCCAATATTACAAAAATGAAAAAAAGTTTGTCCTACAAACTTGTTTTATATGGCTATTGAACAACATGTCCCAGTCAAAAATAAATCCTAGGTTCTCTACAGTAGAACTGGAAGTCAAGGCAATGCCATCTCGAGTAGCTATCTGGTTCGATAGTGTGTTTGTGAGGTGTTTAGGGTCAAATACAATAACCTCAGTTTTGTCTGAATTAAAATGAGGGAAATTACAGGGAGCATGTACAAGGAAAATAATATAGGTCCTAACACTGAGCCCTGTGGAACTCCATACGTAACTCTGCTGTGGGTGAAAGAATCATCATTAACATGAACAAACTGGAATCTGTCTGATAAATATAATTTAAACCAATTTAGTGCAGGTCCTTTAAGCCCAATTAAACACTCCAGTCTCTGCAAAAAGATGCTGTGATCCACTGTATCAAATGCAGCAGTGAGATCCAGTAGAACAAGTATAGAAACTAGTCCACTGTCTGAGGCCATAAGAAGATCATTAGTGACCTTCACCAACACTGTCTCTGTACTATGATGCAATCTAAAACCTGACTGAAACTCTTCACACAAATCATTTCTATACTAACAGTCACACAACTGGCTTGCAAGAACTTTCTAAACTTACTTTTAAACCAGACAAATCTCCTGTATCCGACGAAAGCTGAATTCACTTCCTCAACAACATATTAGCAGAACAAGGCCTCAGCTTCTTCAACCTCANTCAACTTATAAAGGTCTATGGATACAACAAAACTGACTTCATGTTTGTCAGAACTATCAAGAGCGTTTATATTTATGTCCTTTCCAAGTGAAACCAGAACGAGTCTGCAGAAATTGTACATTAATTAAATATTTTTATAACACATAACTCTACGGATTTCTAAACTATCTGGCCAAAATTTCATTTGTTTCTGAATAAGTAAGTGATAAATAAATATAATACCTTTATAGAATTAAAGATGTTTTTTAACCATTTCAAACATTGCAGGCAAGGAGTTCTTACTTTAGTAAAATATAATGATCAGTTCTGCAAAAAAACAACTGAATAAGGTTTCACCAAAACCTACACTTACGTGCTTTCCGAGTTCACCAATTTCTGCTGTTAACTCATTTATTGAACGAGAACATTTAAGGCAATAATAAATCATAAATAATATGCACAAGAACTTGTAAGTCGCATCATAGCTTCTAATTTCCACTACCAATCCAATTTACTTATTTCATACCAACACACACACTAAAAACCTGCTGCTGAAACAGTAATCTTCAAATCTGTCAACTCATGTGGAACAAACTTTTTTTTTTTTCTTACATTACAAGATTAAGACTAGTGAAAAAAAAAAGTAAGTCATAAGTGTCAGGCTCCGATCTGATTTTTTTAAAAGCTAAATAAAGCAGCTAAAGCTGACCATGATAATCAAAACACACTTAAGACAAAAGTAAAACAACAGTAGTGTTTTGTTGTTTTTTTTTTACCTTCTCTGAGAGTCAGAGGGCTTCTCTTCATCTGCCATCCCATTTTTCTGACGTTGTTCTGTTCAGGGGAGAAAAAAAGAACAATAATTTNGGGTTAAGAGAGGAGCAGAGCTGTCAACTGATCACCACCTGGTGGTGAGTGGGATCCGATAGTGAGGAAGGCTGCCGGACAGACCTGGTAAAACCAAACGCGTAGTGCGGGTGAACTGGGAT